GGAATTTGGGGAGACCCCATGTGACCACAGGTCTATGGCCTTCTTCTGTCAGTGGATTGGGTTTCAGTCATCATCATCTTCTGGTCCATCTGACACCAAGCTTAGCAACTGAGAGTTCAAACTACCTCCAAAAGATGGGTTCCCTGGCTTTGACTTGCCTGCAGCAGCAGCCACTAACATGGGTCCTATGAGTTTTGCCTCAATTTTGGGTGGGACTAGTAACCAGCAGATTCCTGGTTTGGAGCTGGGGCTGTCTCAAGATGGTCATATAGGGATTTTGAACCCACAACCTTGAGCCAGATTACCAGCAGATGGGTCGAAGCTAGAGTACACCTACAACAGCATCAGCAGCAGCAGCAGCATCATCCTCCTCCTTCTAAGGATGACTCTCAAGGTTCTGCAGGGCAATAGATTTTTGAATTGAGTTTGGGTAAAAATGTAGCATTGTCCAGAGGCAGAGGTTTCAACGATGGCTTCTGTGTGTTGTATATATGGAAGACGTCAGGACATAGATGCCTCAGATTCAGAGCTTTCAATAGGACCTGGATTTTGTTTCACCCTTCTTTTTTCTGCACTGCAGTGCTCAAGTCTCCTGGAACAGGTGCTTCACTTCGAGTTCAAAGTTTCTACTATTTACTCTTTTGGTATATTCACGTGTTATAATATTGTTGTTTATGATGTTAACTTGCTTGCAGATGGAATTGCGCTGCCAGCTAGCTTGGTTTTGGGCTTAAAACTCTTGTTTAATTCAGAGAGGTTTTTTAAGTATCACTATGTGAAGCAATCAATTATTTTGTTCTTCTCGAGTTCAAGGGGTGCTGATCTTTTTGTGAGATTGATGCTATAGATTTCATAATCATATTTTCCAAAATTTGTGATGGAATTCTTGCTGTAGTTCCTTAATCGTCTGAAAGATTCTAATCAATGCATGGAACAACACTTGCAAGTTACATCCGGCTGCCTGGCACCCTTGATTAACTTGCAACAGCCTGGATGCTTTACTTCCATGTTCATCACCTGAAATCTTTCCTTTTGTTAAATTAGTAAACTGTTTTTATTCCCTTTACAATGCTACTGTTAAGAAGCTAAAATATTGAAAAGGGTATCAGTGCCTAGCATTTACAGCTCTGCTTCTTTGAAAAGGGTATTTGTATTCAAGCGTTTCTCATTCTTTACTCTCTGGAAAAGTCTTGTGATGTACTTATTGACATGACTAAATTAATATTGTTAAGTCGCCTGCTAGCATCAATAAAATGCCTGAAGCCAGGGTATTGTAGCAGAGGTGGAGGTAAACTGAGAAGTCCACCACATACACCAAAGTACTTTGCTTTATTCTTTCTTGCTTTGTAGCAGGGAGAAAGACCCAAAGAAGTGAGACAAGTGAACTTTCTAAAACTGCTCACTTTGACTCCCGTGAACTGTTTTGAGCTTGAGCATCAGCAAATTCTCCCAGTTTAACCCGATGCTCCTGAAGCTAAAATCCTTGTAATAGTGAAAAAGGTAATTCCTGTGTCTCATGTTTACTAAAATAACACTTCCTAGTTATATTCAGCAGTTAGTTCCCATGTTGAACTGATTGCATGTAAGTGATTATCTTGGGGAACATGAAACAAACTTGTAGAGAAGAGAGAAATTGCTAAAATACAAGACTTTCTGTGTTTGGACTTCGCAACTCCATCTATGAAGCCCTTATTGTGAGTTCCCATGAGATTAAACCGGTCAACTTTAAATTGTGAGTCCTCTGACTGCTTTGGTGCTATATTTAACGCACTTTTACAGCAGCACCTATACAGAAAAGAGATAAAATTCGAGTAGTGGATGTATCACATGCTTGATCCGAAGCCATTATCTGCATAATTAATTACATGATAATGAGACTTATCTGTAGCAATATATGCGCAGCTTCATGTCTTATCTAGATTCGTGACAGCACATGAAAGGGATTAAATTCCATTTATTCAACCAAGTCCATCATTTGTTTTCTTGTGCTTTCACATAAAATTAGTGTGAAAGGCGACGCATTTTCTTCGTTGATTTTGTCAAGCAACCAATCACTGCCATGATTTCTTCAGCACCCACCAACTCAGGCTATCATTACGGACAGCCTCTTTAATTGAATAAAAATTGCATGCACATATAAAATCACCCGATTTCGATTGACCCACCTAATGGAAAAGCACCAGAGAGAGAGAAAAATTGGGAAATCAGGTTGTAATCTAGAAGCACTGACTTTTTGTACAAGAATTTCACTAATGAGTTTGAAAGTGTCATTTGACATGCCGAGATATGCGTTCCTCTGGGCTCCTTTCAGAAACTTTTGGTTTGGTCAAGACTTTCAGAACTAAAGTGGCACCACCAGCCAAACGCACATGGGTTAGTGGTATCGTGAAGTTTGAATTGTAATTTGAGAATGGTTACGAATCTGATATGAGGAGTCTGTGAAAGTCACGACAAGATCAATGCCATTATAGACGACAGCGCAAAAGGGTACTCGGGGAGCTTATTTGCAAATTGCAATATTTAGCTCCGACTCAACATGTTTGCCAAATCTCAACCTGAAGCTTTGATGTGTGGTTATTTATTTATTTGAGCGTGCTGTCCTTTCCAGTTGATTTTCTTCTCCACGAACGAATCAAATTTGAGGTCTCATTTTAATATTGCGGTGGTTTCTTACCCTCGATGACCACAATTACTTTCTTATACTTCCTCTGATGCACACCCTGCACTGCATGTGCCTCTTCTTCAACTATTTTTCACATTTAACTTATCTTTTGTCCATTTGTATTCAATTTCACTGAATAACATATGCGTTTCGCTGTGAATCAGCAAAGTTTCATCAGACATCTGTTTTGACAGTGGCCCAGAATTTTACAAAGGTATCGCAAATGGTATTTGATTTCATTTATTTTGAGATCGCTATCTTTATTAAAACAAAAGCATTCCATTCTGGAGCGGGAAAAGAACTTTACCAGATTCTCTAATCCATTTAACCATCGTTGTGGGGTAAAAACATGGGAAAGATAGCTTTAAGAATAAGGAAATAGAGCACTAGCTAGTGACCATTTTTATCATTAGAGTCTTGTTCCTTTTTAGCCCATGTGTAATTTTCAAATGATTACACTTCCAAGAGCAATTATGTTGCTTTTTTTTTTTTTAAACCAAGTGAATGATTATATTTAAACACATCTTTTTCACAAGTTAACAATGCACGACATGATACGCTCATAAAAGTATAAATGTCAGGAAAAAACGAAGATTTTTGCTTCAACTCATGATGATCATTTGACACGCTTAAAAAGCAAAAACTAGGTAACAATATGAGAAAGGAAAAAGGAAAAGAAATCCCTAGTATTGTTACCTTTGAACCGAGTAGACGTTTAAATAATACCAATTGCTGCTCATGGTTGAGGTAGGAGGAACGAGTCATGACTCATGCTGCTGGCAACGAAAACCAACCTCTTCTCGATCTCTCCGTCTGACACTGTATATGCATACCCTGAAACGGTCCAACAATTTCCCATGAAGCGTGTCTTACACTTTACAGACTAAGCTTTATTTATTCATTCTATCAAATATTATCAACTCATGGAATACTTTATTGGGATTAGAACAGTGGATGGAAACAACTGAACACCTCACCCAGTATTTATTTTTCCATTTGGGCCGGTCATTACTGAAATCTAGTTTGGGAAAGACTTGGACTCGAACCCAAATGAGCCCTCAATACTGAAATGCCCGATACGATCTAGCCCTGCTAAACTTTAAGTGGCAGGACTTTCCCCAGGAACAGGGACGGGCAGGGCAGAATCGGAGATGGAAAGCAATGGGCGTTTTCGGCCATGAGGCTCCTGAAGAAGGGGTGACAAGATTTACAGTCCCTAAGTATCAGATTATATAATAGGCATTGTACGAGTCTGTTGCGTAAACCTGGGAAATTAAGTTTATCTATGGCGCTGCTAATGGCCGTGAAATTTAGGTTACAGAAATGGGAAAGCAGAGAGAGCAAGAGTTCTAAGACTAAAAACACGGGAGAAAGAGAGCTAGCTGGGGGCTTGTACAGCTGTCCAATAGTATTTCACCGTCAATCTAATAATTTATTCTTCCTTAGGTTCGGCATCCCGATAAATCTGGCTCTGTTTTTTTATTCATCCCGTCGAGTTAAAAATTCAGAAAACCAAATCGGAAGTTGGACGTTACTCTTTTCGTCCCCAATATAAATCACTTCTAATCATCCCGCTAGAATTAAGAGAAGTGAGTTAAATCATCAACTTTATCTAAAAACAGAACAAGTTTCCAATCTCAGTTATGTTTATATTATAAATTTTTAAATTTGCATTACGTTCTCTTTTAATAGTTAATGGCTTTAAACAAAAGAAATATTGAAAACTTTAATTAATATCATATCCAGTTATTAATCTCTTGTAATACAATTGTCTTCCGAAATTGAAATGAACCGTTGCAGAGTTACCATCAGGTGAACTTAAGACAGTTTTTCCCCTGCTTTGGGGCCAATTCGTTCATACAAAAGCTAAAAAATGATAATTTTGAGAATTATGGATTATTTTTTCCCTCATGAACGAACAACCCCAAAGCATCTCCTAAATGCTTAAACAACGCCGCAGGACTAACTGTTATTAAAGAGTCAAGCTGCATGCCAACAAGCTTATATTGAACTTTGGAACGCAAAATAACTTAAGCGAGGAGAGCAGAGAGAGGTGAGGAGTAACCGTAACTAGTTTAAAAATGAAATACTATGGTCACTTCATCAATGGTCATAAATGAAAAAGGTCGTTTGTTAATAATGAGATTAGTAACGCAGTCAAATCAAAAGGCATATCCTAAGATCGTATCCTCAGCGTTTCAAAGTCTTCTTGCTACACTGTTAAAGCAAACATAAGGATAGCGTTGGCCCAGAGGTGAGCCGTAGAAAGGTCTTATAACTCTTTACAGCAGGTGAACCATCGAGCTACTAACAAAAATTTGTGCAACAAAGGTAAGGCATTATCGGAGAGCAATGCTGAACTACTCGAGTTTTGCGCATTTTTCAGCTTAACGATAATTCTTAAAAAGGCTGCAAAAGTAAGATGCTGAATATGCTCTGATTGCTATTTTCATTCTATGCTTCTATCCTCGAAAAAATTGTTGAACTATCCATCACGATGACTATGGCTTCCGCCTATATACACTCTCATCACTGTACACAGTGGAAAAAGCCATGAAGAGGGAATATGAAGAAAACTATAGCTATTGTGCTCTACTGGACTATACAGTAATATTTCAAGCCCCCTTTTTCCCAAGTGTGTGTGTGTGTACGCTTTGGGGGGCGATGGCGAGAATTTAACAACTAATCTAGAAGAAGCTATCAGTCTTCAGGGCGTTGAATCTCACCCATCATGATGCGGTTGCTGGATACCACGAAACCAAGGAGTGACGGATCAAGCTGTTTCTTCCCTTTCTTGCCCTTCTTTTTACCACTCCGCCCTGCCTGTGTTCCCCCATCAAAAGACTCAGCGCCAACTCCACCGGCCGCATCTGCCTCTGGAAAAACAGGCTTTTTAAGCATGTCTATAAAAGACGTCTCTGACGCAGAACCTTCACTACACGACGAAGCCCTCCTAAATCGCACTTCCTTTTTCCCAGAAGCCTGAGCATCCGTCAGATTGCTGATTGACGGGTTTCCTGAAGGTTCCCGTCTCCCTAAAACAGAACACATTTTACTTCGAAAGATCCAATAGGTGAAAAATAAAACAGCAGTGAACAGAGAACAGAACACATTTACTTCGAAAGACTGAAAAGATAGAGTAGCCATGATAAGAGAACATACCATCGCTGGCTATAAGATTTATCACGCTGTTCTGATTGGCATTAATTCCAGATGGTTGGTCTGACTGAACATCAGGAGAAGATAAAACTCGAGATACAGGTGTGCGCTTATAGATAGCATTATCAA